CTTTCGGTACAATGAAGGTTCTTTGCCACATCTTCCGAACTTGAGCTGCTCTAGTACTTTATTTAACTTCTCATTCCAGGCTCTAGGGGCTTGTCTCAACCCATACAACGCCTTTCTCAGTTTATAAACCTTTTCTTCACCTCCCTTGACTTTGAACCCTTCTGGTTGGCTTACATATACTGTCTCCTTTAGATCACCGTGTAAGAAAGCTGTCTTGACATCCAAATGATGGATTTCCCAACCTTTTGATGCTGCCAATGCAATGAGAAAGCGTATGGACTCAATTCTTGCTACTGGAGCAAAGACTTCATCAAAGTCAATGCCATGTCTCTGTATGTATCCCTTCTCTACCAGCCTTGATTTATACTTATTTATGCTTCCATCAGAGTTTCTCTTGATTTTAAAAACCCACTTGAGTCCAATGGCTTTTGCTCCTTTAGGTAGATCAACTAAGTCCCAAGTATTGTTCTTCTCTATAGACGCAATTTCTTCCTCACATGCATCTCTCCATACTTTCTCTTCCATTGCTTCGTTGAAGTTCCATAGTTCTTCATTTAATATTAGTAGTAGCCATTCTCCTTCTTCCTCAGCAAGATATATATAGTCGTCAAGATAGCCTGGTGTTTTTGTGATTCTTGTGGATCGTCTAGGACCTTCGTCTCCAATCTCTTCAGTTACTGGTATAGCAACTGATTCGTGATCTCTGAACTCACTCTCCTCATGGTTGTTGTTTCCATCTACCTCTGGATCCTCTGTAATCTCTTTATTCCCAAGTAAGCCAAAAGTAAGTTTAGTTATATCTGCTTCTTGACTTTCCCCGGTAGCATTGGTGTTCCACCTCCATGGCTCACTTTCATTAAAGATAACATCTCTACTCACCACTATCTTCTGTTTCACTGGATCAAACATTCTATACGCCTTAGAACCGGGTTCAGTTCCCAGATGAACTAGCCTTCTTGATCTATCGTCGAGCTTCTTTAGTAACGCAGCATCAGTCTTTGTGTAACCGACACAACCAAACACCTTTAAGTGTCTAATACTTGGTTTTCTTCCTTTTAGTACCTCATACGGTGTCTGCAACTTCAAAGTTCGAGTAGATACTCTATTAATAAGGTAACACGCATGCCTCACAGCTTCTCCCCAAAGATAATTTGGCATATCCATATGCTTAAGAATACTTCAAGTCATCTCTAGCAGAGTTCTGTTTTGTCTCTCCACCACTCCGTTCTGCTGAGGTGTGTAGGGCGCTGTTAAGTGTCGTTGTATGCCTGCCTTCTCACAGAATTCTTTAAACTCCGTTGATGTGAACTCACCACCCCGATCAGTTCTAAAGGTTTTGATGGTTGATTTTGTTTCAGCTTCCACTAATGTCTTGAAACTTTTGAACTTTTCAAATGCTTCTCCCTTTTCTTTTAGCAGAATAATCCACATGTATCTCGAGTGATCATCAATAAGTACAAAGATGTACTTATTCTTTCCTGCTGTCATTGGTGTTATTGGCCCACATAAGTCTCCATGGACTAATTCAAGAAGCTCTGCAGCTCTGTATGTAGTAGCTTGTGGAAAGCTCTGCCTTGCTTGCTTCCCACGCATACAGGAACCACACATCTCCTTCTCAACTTCCATATTCGGTATACCTAAAACCAGTTCCTTTTGTATCATAAGCTTCATAGCTTCCACCCCTATGTGACCTAGACGCGCATGCCAAGTTGTTGATTCTGTTTGAGTAGTTGTCTTCAGACATTCCATGTTGACTATCTCCATACGCATCTTGTAAAGACGATTCTTTGATCTTCTTGCTTCTGTAATAAGGTTTCCGTACTGATCATGAAGTGTCAATAGATCACTTGTCATGCTTACTTTACAACCAGATTCAGTCTCTTGACCCAGACTTATTATGTTACTTTTAAGATCTGGTATGTAGTAAACGTCTGCAAGAATTTTCTTGTGTTCGTCTTGAGTAATAAACAGGATGGATCCCTTCCCTTTGATATCAATCTTGGAATCATCACCAAATCTAACCTTCCCTGTGATAGTCTCATTCAATGTCCTGAAGTATGATCTATTGCCAGTCATATGATTGCTAGCACCGTTGTCTAGATACCACATCTGGTCTGTTTCTGAATTAGTTTCAAACTCCTTGGGTTGAACATTCTTCTCGTTGAGATACACTATATCATGCATAAGTAGTTTATCTGCCTGCTGCGTGTCTTCCTCCTTTGTCTCATAAGCCTCTTGTAACTTAAGTAGTCGGTCTGGACAACCAGAAGCGAAGTGTCCAAGCTTATCACATCTAAAACACACTATTTTAGACATATCAAACTCTCTATATGACCTTCCTTGGCCACGTCCTCTGCCGTAATATCTTCCTCCTCTACCTCTGTTTCTCGAGTCATTGTAATCTCTATTTGGATAACTCTGAGATGATTCTGTCTTAGCATACATAAGTTTGCTTTGATCATTAGATGTCTCCTCTTCTTTACCCCGTACTCTATCTTCATATGTTTTGAGCCTTCCAATGATATCCTCAAAACTGGCTGTCTTAAGGTCTATGAACTGCTCAATAGTGGCTACGATGTGTATAAATTTCTTGGGTAAAGATGAAAGAAACTTCTTGATCATCTTTGGCTCATCAATGTTTTCTCCTAAAGCTGATGATTTAGATGAGATTTCTCCCATTCTTCCTGCAAATAGGTCGATGGTATCATCATCTTTCATTGTTAGTTTATCAAACTCTGCCATAAGTGTTTGAAGCCTTGCTTCTTTCACTCTATATGCTCCCATATGCCTAGTTTTGATTGCTTCCCAAACCTTGTTTGCATTATCCAAGTCTCCCACTTGTAGGATTAGGGTTTCGGGTATTGAAGCAAAAATCAAAGATATAGCCGCATTGTTCTTCTTTATCCTCTGTTTCCTGTTTAACTACTTCCCAAACTTCATGCACCTTAAGTAGGACCTTCATACGGATTGCCCAAACGGTATAATTTGTTGTTGTAAGCATTGGACAATGAACGATGGCTCCATCTTTTCCTCTCGTTGTTATTGCTGCTGTTGTTGCTGTGATTTCACTCATGTTTGGCTCTGATACCAAATCTTGTTTAAACCTTAACGTAAAAGCTTCAAGGATCACAATAAGACTAACTCAAATCTTATTAATAGCTTAAGAAAATATCTCAAAACTCAAGCTCTCACAAAGGATCTCTCACAAACTCTTATGTTATATCACAAGTTGATATCTCCATATATATATAGATCCTAGATTCTCCTAAATTCACTCAACAAACGTTATCTCTTTATTCCTAATCCTATTCTCAATAGGATTAGTATTTCTTGGTTTCCAAGTTAACTTCAAGTTTACTTTCAACAAGGATTTGGTCTATGGATATGATGAAACGGCATATTTTGTTTTGTGACACCCAGTCTGATCTGCTTTTGGCAGAATGAGTGATTTGCCATATTCTCTGATCCACTGATAGCTTATCTAAAATTAAAAGTATGAACTATAGTTTATAGAGTTGATTTCTTCTCCAGCTCTGACTTGTAGATCTTCTATGTTTCGAGTCCAATACATGTTAGAGAGAATGATGATAAGGAATTGTCGCCCCAGTCTTATTTGCATCCATTGCGATGGATACAACATGGTGATTGACTATTCTCGTCTGATTCTCAGTATTTTCATAAAGGATAGTCATAATTCGAAGTGAAGAAAAGTCATAATTATTGTTTTGTGACACCCAGTCTGATCTGCTTCTGCAAAATTGAGTGATTTGCCATGTCCTCTGATACCTAATTTCAATTGAATAGAGTTTTGTTTTTATATGTAAAGATCTGTTCTCTATGTTTATATGTATGTTTTGGAAGTCTGAGGAATGAGGATGTTTACTAAACCATACGTCTGCAAATCTGAACCATACTGTAGATTCATAGACATGCACTACCATCTGACCTCTTTTCTAACTTTCTTTTGTTTTGTTTTTTCAAACTACTCTTTTTTTATGGTTTACTGCAATCAATGATGAATAAAATCGTCCATATTTGATGATAATCCCATGATTATTAAACACTTAGATCACCATCTTTCGGCTGAGGTTGCAGTTTACTCTTGATTTCTTATTATTCTCGTTCATTAAGAAATTGCCTATGGTATCTGATGTCCAAAGTTTTTAACAAATGTAGTTGGACATTTCGTTTTTCAGAGGCAGAAACTGAATTAACAGGCCTTTGCGACACTGCTAGCTTCTTTTTCATAAGCTACCTGTTACTTATTTACCTGTTTATATTATCTCGTCCATGTTTTTTTTTGTTAGTTTCAACCCACCCAATTGCTTGTCGAATTTTTCTGTATCACTTGTCTCTTTAATATCGTTCTTGTGCAGAGTAATTGGACTGCTTTTTTATTATTAGAATGAGATGGTCTCTTGGGCAGGTGGATTCGGATTCGTTTGGAGTTAGTTTAATAATCTTGGTATCTCTAGTGACAATAATGATCTGTAGTTACTCCTATTTGTTTTTAAGATTGTAAATTAAGAGAAGTGATTGTTTACAAATCTTTACTAAGGGTTTAATGCTATACATTCTTGTCTTTGCCACATGGCTCAGTTGACGTTGTTTTAGACAATCTTCTCTGCAGCGTTGGAGTTGCTAGTGGCAGTGCTCTTTGTTGCCATTTCTGAGATATCTTGATTTTCTAGATGGGATAGCGAGAAGCAGAATTTTTGTAAGTTCTGTTTGTAGATCACGCTGATTAAAAGATGTTGTTGATGAAGAATTCCATAGGCTTGTTTCCCAATAGAAGGATAACGACTAGTCTTTATAAGACAAGCTCATATGCATAATGCAAATCTAACAAGGCACAACACATTAATTGCATAATTGTACAATGGAAGTTGATTTTGATGAGACAATATTAAAGAGAGACGAAAATAAATGTTTTGTATTTCTGAAACAACATGTCGTCTAATGAATCTTTACGGATACAGAAATTGCTACACACTAATTATCTAAAATACAAACATCTGTTCTTGTTGTTGTAAAGAGCATGGTAAAGAACATCTAGCACTAGAGATCGACATTAACAGAGCCCTTTCTGTATCTTCTATTCGACATTCAATCAATTTGATCAGATACTTAAAGAACATCGAGTCAAATGGCAATGTGATTGGTCCACTGGTGGGAGGCCTGAATTCTTCTTCAGAGATCTTCAAGAGCTCTTGGAAAACTGAGTTGCTTAGGTAACTTAATGGAAAAGCAAACCGTGCTTCATCTATGGAGTAAACCACAAAACAACCCTTTTCTACAGCCGTTGACCAGCTAGTTGATGTACAAGATCTTTGGAATGAGATTCTTTTCCTGTGGAGTGCTGCTCTTTGTTGCCATTTCTTGACCATCTTGATTAGCTTCTTTGTGTTAATCATTATCTCCAGGGAAAAAGCATTTAGAGATTGGAAAGCAAAAGAGATCTGTATGTTGCGCTGTATATTCTCTGAATGCAAGTTTTAGTTGCTGAAAGATCCAGGGGAGAAACTATTATAGGTTAGAGCAACTAAACCAGACAGAACACATGCTTCTGTTTCTGTTCAATGTGATCGTAAAGTTTATAACCAGTCCTGACTGCTCAACAGCTTCTGATACATCTTCTGAGAAGACTGGGTATGATTCTGATACAACACTATTATAACAAGATTTAGACACAAAGACATGTGCATAAGAACGAGAGATGTAGAACGTGTAGGTCCTCTGATTTTCTCAAAGAACTTAAAACCTAAACCTTGCACAAACTTCAATGGTTACGGTGGGTTTCTGAGGTCCTTAAACATTCATTCTCTGATTCTGAGCAGCCTAATCAGACATAACATATGCTTTTTTTTTTTCTACTCAATCTGGTCAATGATGATCCCAAATTGGTATAATAAACTACATCTGCAAAACAACCTGTGGACTATGCAGTTCATGGTGAGAAATATAAAGCCATGATCATGTGGGACTGTTCAGTGGGTATGAAAGCTATATAAATGATTATATTTTCAACATTTTGTTACAGTATATATCCTTTCTGTTGACAGGTACAACATTAGATCATCTTCGTCTTACAAATTCCAAGAAGCTCTACTAAGACCTTCGATTAAGATGTATATATATGTACAACTTTTATTTTATTTTATTTATGGAATACACTTGTAGCTTTACAAACACAGTTATGTCTCAAAGTCTTGTCTAAGCAAACTGTTGTTCCACAAGTATAGCCATACATAAATCATTCCAGAAAACATAGTCACAAACCAACGGAAAAGCAGAACAACAAACACTGGAAACCAAATTAGATATACGTCTGAGCATTCCTCTTTAACTGAGAAAGCACATTAGAAGACGTCTGGATGGTACCTTCCAGGGATGGAACTATTGTTCTGCTGTGCTTGTTTCAGATGAAGCGTGAGGGCATAATTATTCACCTCCAGAGTCCTAAGCTGTTCCTGGTATTGAGTAACCATCTGCCTCAAACGCTGCAACTCCTGGCTTTGATCTTCAGTTTCCTTCTGCCGCTTCTGTTGCGTCACCACGGCTCGTTTAAGCAAACTGTTCTCCTGGACAATAGCTTCTAACTGCTGCCTCAGCATCAAATTCTCCTGTTGTAGACTGCTTCGCATTGAGGCGTCAGAACCAGCACGTGCGTTGATGGACTTCTCCAACGCTTCAAGTGCTCTAGAAGCACGGTCTTTAGCGTCTTTCATGTCTGAAGCATTCATCATCTCTCGAACAAACAACTCAACCCACTCGTTACCATCCAAGTTCAAGACTGACGATCCTCCTCCTTCAAGTTTTGCTTCTTCTGAGTCGTTATTGGCAGATTCTAAACGAAGCTGGTTCAAAGATCTAATCGCGGAATCAAGATCATCTCCACATTCCTCTATTGCCTTCTCAAGAATCTAAACAAAGAAAAAAAAGCAAGAAAAGTTCAGAATCTTTGGGAACAAGAGAAAGAAAGTTTGAGACTTTTACATGATTATCCATGTCGGGGAAAAGGGCGGCGAGGTGATGGAGAAGAATCGAGGAGGGAGGAGGAGGAGAGAAACGGAGTTTCTTGGAGACAGGAGGCGAAGAAGAAGCGGCGGACAAATCCTCGAAAAGAGATCTCTTGCCGCCGCAAACAATCGCAGACATGTTATCTGCTTCCTCCCTTCGTGTTCGTGTTCGTCTTCCTTCCTTCCTTCAGATCTGATCTCTCACCTTTCCTTTTTTGTTTCTTTTGATTTCTCAGAATGATTGATTCCCGGAAACCCGAACAGAAAAGTCAAACAAACCTTTGATAGCACAACAGAGAAATGGATCCGACAACAACCCGGAGTCGGATCTCTCAAATTCTCAATATGGGCTTATACGAACTCAAGTAATAATGGGCCGTATTACGAGCTTAACTGGTTCACTCACTCACAAACGGTACCGTTTTGCGTGTGAACTAAATATATCGTGGTTCATACTTGATAGCTTAGCTGTTGGTGTCGGTGGATCAGTGTTGAGATCTTTGAAAACGAAGTTTCTCAATTATTAAAAAAACTAAAATTTGGGTGGAAATCAGATCCAAGTTCTGGTATATTAAGGTCGTAACACACTATCATCATTTGTATAGTACTATGATTTGCTTCACCACTTGCTCTCCTCTGAGAATATATAAATCTAGTTAGATCATTGTATCATTCACTCCTCGACTAGATCCGGATCTGGAAATTTCTCCTACTCTCTTCTGTTCATAAAGTAGCAATCTTGCGAGAGATCTAAGACCCTTTCTCTGGTATTTACAGCAACTCTGTTTCTTTCTTTTTTTTGTTCTTGCTTCTGAGTAAATGTTTCTTACTTTGTTTTACTTTCTATCTTCTTAGTTTTGCTCAAAGTAGTATGATTTGGGTTTTTGCATCTCTTCGTCTAAGTTATACAACCGAGTTGTGTTTTTGTTGGTTTTTAGATCTTTATCCATATGTTCTGTGTTCTATAGTATCATATTGTCATTCGATTAAGCTCAGAACTTGGTCAAACTAAGCTTAAAGAAACAAGCTCTAGTAGTCATTAGTCAATAATAGCGTTGACCATGGTTTACTTCCATTTCGTTAGGAACCTCAACATCATTGTAGATCTTCCTTCCCCTACTTCTTCTAAACATTCCTTTTAATGTGTTACTTTGTTAAAATCATTCTATTTCTCTTTGGTTTTGCAGGTGCATTTAGCTAGGGCTTGTGCCGTGGGTCTAGAGGAACATGGCAATGGGGAGATATTCTCGTGTAGACGGGAAGAAATCATCAGGCTATGGCTTAACCATTACCATTGTTTTGGTTGTTTCTCTCTCTTTGGTTGGTGCTTGGATGTTCATGTCTTCCTGGTCTGCTCCTACCGAGTCTGTTTTCTCTTCAAGCCAGACTACAAAAGATGTGGAAACTACTACTAAGACTGATTCCACTAATCAAGAAGTTGATCAGACCTCCAAGAGTTTTCCTGATGAAAAGAGTGAGGAGAAAGAAGTTGTGACAGAGAGCAACGAAGAGAAGCCTGAACCTGAGAGCTCTGGTGAGAAAACCGAGCAGGCTGAGGAGAAAAAGGAATTTGAAGACAAAAATGGTGAAGGGGATAGAAAAGATGGGGAGGGTGAGAAAGACACGGAACCAGAAAGTGATGAGACGAAGCAGAAGGAGAAGACACAACTGGAAGAGAGCTCAGAAGCAAACAAATCCGAGGATGGTGATAAAACCGAAGAGAATGCTGAAGAAAACACCGAGAAAAAGACTGATGGTGAAAATACTGAAGAGAACACTGAGAAGAGTAGTAAGGATGTCTTCCCAGCTGGAGACCAGGCTGAAATTACAAAGGAGTCAAGCACCGGAAGTGGGGCTTGGTCTACCCAATTGGTTGAGTCGCAGAACGAGAAGAAAGCTCAAGTCTCTTCAATCCAATGGAAAGTCTGCAACGTGACTGCTGGACCAGACTATATCCCTTGCCTTGACAATTGGCAAGCTATCAGGAAGCTTGCTAGAAAGCATTATGAACATCGTGAGAGGCATTGTCCCGAGGAATCTCCACGCTGCCTTGTTGCTCTTCCTGAAGGGTATAAGCGATCCATCAAATGGCCTAAGAGCAGGGAAAAGGTAAAGCTTTTGAGTTCCTCCTTTATGTGAATTTTTCAGTGATATCCATTAACTCTTTATGTTTTGTGTTGTCACAGATTTGGTACAACAATGTTCCTCACATGAAGCTTGCGGAAGTCAAAGGACATCAGAACTGGGTTAAGATGAGTGGTGAATACTTAACATTCCCTGGTGGTGGTACTCAGTTCAAGAACGGTGCTCTTCACTATATCGATTTCCTGCAAGAGGTACAGCAACTTATTATTTTGATCTTTCATTCAACTTGGTCATTGACTATTACTCATTACTTTTGATATGTGATGTGCAGTCATATCCTGATATTGCTTGGGGAAACAGAACCCGTGTTATACTGGATGTTGGGTGTGGTGTTGCTAGCTTCGGAGGATATCTTTTTGACAGAGATGTGCTTGCTTTGTCATTTGCACCCAAAGATGAACACGAGGCTCAGGTGCAATTTGCTTTGGAACGTGGTATCCCTGCAATGTCAAATGTTATGGGAACAAAGAGATTACCTTTTCCAGGATCTGTTTTCGACCTTATCCATTGTGCTCGTTGTAGAGTCCCTTGGCATATTGAAGGTGAAGAGTTTCCCATTTTGCAGTGTTATTTAGCATCTTTTTTTTGTGTTATTGAATAACCTTCTTTTTTGTTGTCTGAACTGAAGGTGGTAAACTACTTTTGGAATTGAACCGTGCATTGAGGCCAGGTGGTTTCTTTGTCTGGTCGGCGACTCCAGTTTACAGGAAGACCGAAGAAGACGTTGGCATATGGAAAGGTTTAGAAACTTTGTTCCCTTTTGTTTTGGATATGAATAAGAGATGTTTCGAATTGGTCTTAGTTGACTAAGTGAGATGCTTTTCTCTGTTTTGTAGCTATGTCAAAGCTCACAAAGGCAATGTGCTGGGAGTTAAAGACAATTAAGAAAGATGAATTGAATGAAGTTAGTGCTGCCGTTTACCAAAAGCCAATGACTAATGAATGCTACAACAAAAGATCTCAAAACGAGCCTCCTCTATGTAAAGACTCTGATGATCAAAATGCCGCTTGGTAAGTTTATCTATTCCCTTTCTCACATTAATTCACAACTAACTAGTCATGCTGTGGAACTATGTTGCTAAAGTATGTGTGTTTGATGCAGGAATGTTCCACTTGAGGCATGTATGCACAAAGTGGCAGAAGAATCATCAAAACGCGGAGCAGTGTGGCCTGAAAAATGGCCAGAGAGAGTAGAGACTGTTCCTCAGTGGTTGGATTCTAAGGAGGGTGTATATGGAAAACCTGCACAGGAGGATTTCACAGCAGACCATGAACGCTGGAAGACTATTGTTTCAAAGTCATACATCAACGGTATGGGAATCGATTGGTCGAATGTGAGAAACGTGATGGACATGAGAGCAGTCTATGGGGGGTAAGTACAAATCTTTCACAGTATAAAATTGGCTCCATGGATCCGTTACTAAATGATATCTCTCTTTCTCTTTCTTGCTTTCAGTTTTGCTGCTGCACTGAAGGATCTGAAACTGTGGGTGATGAATGTAGTTCCCATCGACTCACCAGATACACTTCCAATCATATATGAACGTGGTTTGTTTGGAATCTACCATGACTGGTGTGAATCATTCAGCACGTACCCTCGAACTTACGACCTTCTTCATGCTGATCATCTTCTCTCTGCACTGAAGAAGAGGTATGTATATATAGAGTACATGCACATATATGCATCTCTGTTACCTTTTCTTGATTGCAAAATCTGATGACCATATGGTATAAACAAAACCTTTTAGGTGCAACTTGGTGTCGGTAATAGCTGAAGTGGACAGAATTCTAAGACCACAAGGGACTTTTATAGTAAGAGATGACATGGAAACTATAGGAGAAATTGAGAAGTTGGTGAAATCTCTGAAATGGAATGTAAGAATGACACAATCCAAAGATGGAGAAGGGTTGCTCTCTGTTCAGAAGTCATGGTGGCGTCCTACAGAGGTCGAGACCATTATATCGGCAATAGCAAAGGAAGGAGAGGTTTAAAAATAGTTTTATGAGTACGTTTTTTATTTGATGATCACGTTGATTGTTTACTTGTATTATTAGTCCAATATTTTGTATCCTTTTTTGCAGTGACGAAAATTGTATACAAGACAGTTGTCTCAATAGTGTAAACTTTTATGAGTTTTTGATTTGGTCCTAAGTTCCTAACCACCATTATAACTATTGCAGCAAACTTATATATACTGTACATATGAAAAGATAGGTATATGATGAGTCCATGTATTATGGCATCACTAATTCCGGATTGTCAAAGCTTGACTCTCACCCAAAAGGAGGTTTTCTCTTCTTTGGACTGATTACACTGGTTCTAAGTTATTTTACTCTTTTCTATTTCACTAATTTTATCTGAAGAAATGTTAATTTTGTCTAGTATTTTTTTTTAATAAAATATTACTTTCAGTTTGTTGCTATTACACCAAAAATACTTTGTTTTCTGTGAAATGAATATTTCATTTCTATTGTAAATTTTATAAGAATATAATAATAAATTTACATAAATAATATTTCTTAGTACAAAGAGAAGATTGAATTTGAAACTATCATATCCTCATGATTAAGATTTTAATTTTTGTACGTCTAGGTCTAGAGTTTAAATCCAAACAATGCAATTTTTTACAGATGATAGATATAATGCAAGCTTAAGAATTATATGATGTTTTTATTCAAGCTTTAGAATTATATGATGTTTTTATGCAAGCTTAAGAATTATATGATGTAATTGTTATCTAGTGTTAAAATAAAAAAAAAAAGAGAAGATTGAATAATAACTGTTAAAACTATGTAAAAATAAATGGTGTATAGAAATTTGAATGTTTTATCAACTACACTTGTTGAAAAAGAATACAAAACTGAAACAGACAAATTATTTCACAACCACCGTCGAAACTTATGATATTTTTAGAATAACCCAAAAAAACAATAAAGATAAAGAAAAGAATGAAATCCAAATAAATGAATATATAGTTTAAAAAAACATGCCTAAATATACCCGAGGACAGTGTGGGCGCAACGCAGGGGAGTGAAAGATGGACTATAAAATCAGGATCATAGTAACTTGGTCCCTAAGACTCAACCATAATTTGTTGCCTCTCAGTTTCTTAATTAGGGTTTTCGTATCACTCTTCTTCTCATTATCTCCGTTTATTCCAATCGATCAATCTTAGCGTGCGATCGATGGAGATTGCTTCGACTTCTACCAATTTGAATATGCGCCCGACATATCAGAGATACGATATTGGGTGCAGATCAACCCGTTCCTCCTTGTTACACATAAACCCTAATTTTCGACGAGATGGGTGCGACGTTGTTATGGCGGCGGGTCCGAAGAAACGCAAACATTGCGATGAAGAAAACCCACCGGAGAAGAGACAAAAGAAGACCGTTGAAGCTTTGAAGTCATCTAGGTTTACCGAACCGGTTGATGCAAAACCTAATACGAAACCGGTGCAATCTCTTACGACCCTTCATGTTACAGAGACGGCAAAGTCCAAGGTTGTTAGTACAACAAAACCAGGTGGTGAAAAGACTGATAATCAAGATCACAGTTTCAAAGACTTGATCGCCAAGGCGCGAGAGAAATTGCAAGAAAAGAGACAAATCGATCAAAGGAGCACTGACATCGCAAGCCAGAGGATCGCTGCTCGGTTAGCCCTAAACCGGGTCGTAAAGACTGTTGATTTCGATGATCATCTTGAATATCACTTGGAATTAGAAAAGCTTGGCTGTGATTTCATCAGCGATCAAGTCAGTTGCTTGAACAAGTTCGATCTGTTGACAAGAAGCGACTACTACTACTACATTGATGAATCTAACTCATAGTAAAACAAGTGTAGTTGTGATCCATCTGCTGTTGTGTTTTTATTTGTTGTGTAATATGTAGAACATGTCTGTAGTTTAATCTTTTCAACTATATATATATGACAAAAGTTTCAGAGCAATCCTGTTTATAGTATCTGCAAAAAAAGAAACTACTTTTTATTGATACAATTAGTAACAAACACCTCCATATAAATAAATCTATATAAAGATGGTATGGTCCATGTCTTAGAATTTAATCAACTCGAACATGAGTAGAACTTAATCCAGAGCTTTCTGTATCTCCATGTTGAGCCGCCTCACCATCAGTACGAGATGCATCTTCTTCATCACTGAGGAGACCCATGCATAATCTTGTCATAAAGCAGAGAAGCCCGATCAATTAACTTTACAGCCCATCGCAACCGGCAAACAAACGATGCAGCAGCCTGCCAGCTCTGCAACTGCTGAGTTCTCAAGTGAAACTACAAAAACTGCATAGAGTCATCTGCAAAATGAAGTTGCAGCTATTAGACTAGTAGATGATCTCAGGGGGATACTAAATCCAAGAATAGCTAAGTATGGATGGATACCTAACTAGATGGATAGATAGTCTCTCTTGAATTGCGTAAACTTTCAATTACCATAATTTACCTAGGTACAGAGATTCTTTTGAGACGGAACCAAAGCAAAAGAAAACCTTGCACAGTATAGAGTCTAGGTGCAAAAGTACCTTACATCTGCATTTGTTCATGAAGAAATCATTCCTCCCTTTTAGCTTGGGCGAGTGTAAAACTCATGTGATGATTCTGAAACAGTTTCTTGTGAGAAGATATCCACAAGCAGCTTCTCCATCCCCTGTTTGAAAGCTCACCATCATCACTGTAAGTAAAATAGAGGACGGATCTTTACAAAAGGAGATAAAAACAACTACAACAATCTTTTCAAAGTGTTCCTAACGCAACTGAATAAGAAAAATCTGAGGCTACCATGACTGATGATCAGAGTTACTTGCTGGAGAATTGGTTACTTTATAGGGGACACCAAACTCACATGTTTTCAGATGATTCCATAAGGAGCTTTGATTAAGAATCATCTCATGCTATCAACTATACGTTAGGCTGAATAATTGTATTATTGAGTATGTGGAAAGTATTTATACAAGAATACAAGTAGGATAACTAGTAGTACTTTGTATTTACAAAGAGGCCTTTTAGTATAATCTATTTACTTATTATGTCCCCTCAACTTATAATCTAACACAAAGTCAAAAAAATATATTTAAATCATTGTTTAGCAACTGGAATTAAATTTTCAACTTTAGGTAAACAATATAAAATATTAAATTTGAAAGTAATTATCCTTTTTAAAAATATTAAACCAACAAATTTAAAAGAGTGTTTAACATTAATTTTATTTTATTCAAATTCTGATTAAAAAGACAATAACCCAAAAACAACTATACTTATTCATATATTAACAAGATTTTTTGAATTAAAAGTAATAGTAATTTTCGTTTTTACAAATCCTATACAAAGTTTTTTTTAAGTTATTTAATATTAATTTTCATTTTCTAAAATCATAAAAAAATTTAAATGTAAAAAATTGATAGTAATTATCCTTTAAAATTTTTAAACCAGAAACATATGTTATATTTTTATTAAACTAACTATCATATTTAATTAGTAGTATACAAAATAATATTCTCTATTATTTCCTTAAATAAACATATATATCACAATTAATGATTATGAATAATAAAGATTTGATAACAACTTTTTATCCTCTTTACTTGTTATTTAGTTTTATATTATTAAAAGAAATAAAAAATCACATTCTAATCATATTATAAAAAAATTTAGATTTTTTCTTATATGTTATTTTTTGAATTTTTTAAAACGACCATAAATTACGCAAAATGGTAAAAATCTCAAATTGAAAATTTTATGATCAATGGTAACTTTTTTTAGTTCGGCCAATCATTTTTAATGCGTCTTCAACAATTTTTAATGATTAACTAAATGGATCACGTACATTATAGAGTGTGTTTTGGTTTAAAAAATGTTGCATACCCAAAATCAATATAGACTATCATCCCTTTCGTTTAAAATTTTGTTACAATAAAAAGTATAGGATTTGGCAAAAAAATTGAATCCAAATAAACGAGCCAAATCTAATCCAAAATGTAGTACATATCCTTAACCAAAATTGGTTAGCTATCCAAATGGATTCAAAGTTTTGTTATCTAGAAAACCAAAAATGAATCAAAATATTTCGGATATCCGAGTGTACTCGAACCAGATTTATATACTTAAAATATATTAATTATTTTTAAAATTAACATCTAAGTATATACAAAATACATGAGATGTTTTAAAATTTTCCAAAACACTTAGAAATAATGTACATTTTTAAAATTGCTAAATGATATTCCAAATACCAAAAATACTTGAAACATTTATTAATTTTTTGTCTAAATATTTAAGATAAACCAATCTTTTTTGTTAATTTTAAGTATTTTGGCATTCATTTTTCAAATTTATATGTTATATATTATTTTAAATTTTAGATTTTGAGAAATTTAAAGCATATATGACCTTTAATCTTTTTTAAAAAAATTAAATGGGTTATCTAAACCTAAACCCAAACCATACATGCGAAGATTCGAACCAAACCCACAAAGATCTAAACCAAACAAAATCTAACCAAACTAAATGGTACTCGAATATCCATCCTTAATGAAATGTAAAAAAAACAATTACTGATAACAAAATATGATATACTTATAAAAAGCTCACTTCGCACATGGCGCGGAATATCATCTAGTATGCATGATTTTGAAAGTCATTAACACAAATTAGTATTTTATTATAAAAAAATTGTTACATAATTTTAATAGGCGGAATCTTATTTAATTACTGTTTATAATTTCCACTTTGAGATTCTTAACGAGGTAAATTAGGATACACGTATAAGAATAATATTCTCAAGAAATTTAATCATTTTTTACTACACCAACTATTCCAATTGTTTAAGATAAACAAAAAAAATATTCTTTGGATAGCCTTTTAATTTATTTTCACAAAATCATTTTTAATGAAGAAAATGACCAAAACAATTTTATTAAAGGTAAATATGCATTTATATCCATTGTTATAGATCTAATGGATAAGGTTTTGGAGATACGATTTCAAATTTTAAAAACTAAAAAACAAATATTAATATTTTCAAAATAAAAAGGTTATTTTTATCACTTTATTTTTTAGGATTATTTTTTTGATAAAGTTTTAGAAAATGTTATTTGAGAAAATTACCCCCTAAAATAGGTTATCATCCAACCACACCGATGATAATATGATCAAAAATAATCTTAACAAAGAATGACCAAGGTCCAAGATGGTCGGATAAGCAAACATATGTGTTTACATGAAAAAAAACTTATAATCTAACACGAAGTCAAAATATATATATATAAATTATTGTTTAGCAACTGGAATTAAATTTTCAATTTTAGGCAAGCAATATAAAATAGTACTTTATAACAAAAAGATTCAAGTAGAAATGGAAACAAAGACCATAAACTTTGTATTGACAAAGAAACCAAGTTCCAATCAAACTATGTTAAGAGAAAGGGAGAGACACTAGTCTAATACCATAACTGAAATATTTCCAAGCATTATATTATAAAAGTCAAAACAACTGATACACATTTTAAAGAAAAAAAAAGTGACATAATAATCGTAAATATAAAAATCATGATGCACAATTCTAAAAAAAATTACTCAATTAACAACCAAATAGATTGTGGGGATGTCATTGTAAAATTTTGGAAAGTAGTGAAAGCTCATACTTTCGGGCATTCCAGAGAAACCAGAGTTTCATTTTCAGTAATCTCATGAGAGATCTGATTACCAGTGCCAGAGAAAAAAAAGCTGACAAACTATATGGGCTTTAGAATGATATTTGGGCCCAAATATAGGAACTAAGAGTTTGAACCATATTTTGATATTCTGTAAATTAATAAAATATATATAAATCTTAAAAAAAAAGAAATTTGCTATAAATTAATAATTTTATAAGTTAATAAACTATCAAAATCTCTACATTATTAATTTACTAGATGTAGGTCCGTGCGTTGCACGAGTTTTATTTGATATTTTAATATTTATGAAATTTAAAAATAATAATTGATTTTATAATTTTATGATTTTTTACATATGTTGTGTGAGATTATTTTAGAAATTAAGAATTCATTTTTCCATAAAAATTCTGATTAGTATCTAAATTCTAATAAGAAAAAAATTTATTTGATGTTTTAATTTTACAAAGGACATAAAATAATAAGTTATTTTATATTTTAGGATTATTTGTGTGTATATTGTGTGGGATTTATTTCAGAAATTATGATTTCTTTTCCCAGATAAATTATTGTTAAATATTTTTATTAGAGTGAAATAAATAAAATTGAAAGTTAAATAAAGTCAATCAAGTCAATGACAAGATCATACAATTGTCACTTCTTAATTTGTGATGATAAATCTTAAAACAAATAAATAAATTAATTTATTATATATTGTAATAAAGTTAAAGAAAAAAATTAATACGGTTGAAGAAGACGATATTAGAGGTAATTAAGAAATTCTTCTAATTTCATTTTAAATATATGATATTTAATACCATATATATCATTTGGAATTTTTATATAGTTTTATAAAATTAGTTTCATCCCTTAAATATTAAACTCTACATACTAAATCTTAAATTCATATGTTATGGACTTTTTATGTAATATTAAAAATGGTATTTAAGTTATAGTATTTCAAACAATTTCTTTAATTTTTCAGTTTTTGAATTTGTAATTTTTCCTATGTGTACTTAATTTATAATTATTTTCAAATTACTTTTTTCTCATTTTTTACTAACAATTAGGCTGTTTTATTAAATTTTTCTATTATTAAATAATTTTCTAAATTTATTTTAATAATATATTTTCATAAGAACAGTTTAATAAAATAAATTAGAAATACTATATATTAAAATACAAATGTAATAAGATGACGATGAAACATGATTTCTTTTTAACTAAACACATAAAAACCATTTACGTTGATAATAATAATAATCTATTTTTATGACCAAACACAAAAATATACCAAACATGTGTTTGTTTTTGTGTTAACACATACAAATACCAATATAAAGACCAATTACGACAAAATCCTCTTTTTGATTTTTTAGTTAATTATATTGTTTTAGTATCATGTTTATCATCAAAATCTTTTTATTTTAAAGTACTATTAAATAATTTTTTTTAAAAAAAATATTTTTTTCGTATGATTTTGAAAAAGAAACATTATATTTTATAAACTCTTTTATTTATAACTTAAAACAAAAATACTATCAAATACTATTTTACATTTTTGTTTAATATTTTAGAAAATAAAGATTACTATCATACAATCATTTACAATTATCTTCTATATAGAATTAGCAAAAATTAGATTACTATCAGATAATTATTTTAATACTATTAAATATTTTATTAACTAATATTTTACATTTCTAAAATAATTAGTATCAAATAAATTATTTTGTAAATCTTTTTTAATTACCATTTCTTCATTATTTTAGAAAAGGAAAATTATTATCAAATAAATTATTTTCTAAATAATTTTTGTTTAAATTTTGTAAAAGAAAATGGTTTAGAAAAAAATAATTAGTAACAAATAATTTTTCAATTACCATTTCTTCATTATTTTAGAAAAGGAAAATTAGTATCAAATAAATAATTTTGTAAATTTTTTTTGTTTAAATTTTGTAAAAGAAAATGGTTTAGAAAAATTTCTTTTAATTAACTTTTAAAATTACTTTTATTTGTAAAATCGCTTTTATCATCTTAGTATGTATATTTTGTTAAGCATGATTTATTTTAACATATATAAAAAAAATTAAAAGCAAAATTATTATCAAATAATCTTTTGTAATAATATTTTCTTTAGAATTTTAGGAAAGCCAATTGGTAATTAATAATATAATTTATGAATATTATTTTTTGTTTAGAATTTCATAAAGAAAAAGAAAACTACAATTAAACACCCTTTATTTTTTATTTTTTTTACTTTTACACAATATTTAAAATTGATATTTTTAAATGCGTTTTTTATTATTTTAAATGTTTTTGTTTAGGATTCGTGAAAATTGAAATTACAATTAAACATTTTTAACTTCTTCTTTATACTTTTAAACAATTTTTAAAATTAATATCTTTAAATTTTGTTTTTATTATTTTAATATATTTATATGAAAAATAATCACCAGCTTAAGAAGAAAAGAGTATGAATAATATTTGAAAGAATTATTCTACAACTTGTTTTTTTTTTAGGATTTGAAAAAAAAAGGAAAACTAATACTAAACTCTCTTTTATAATTTTCTTATGTTCAAAATTTTAGAAAATGACAATTACTATAAAATATTTGTTTCCATTATCTTAGTATCAACTAAACTATTTGTAAAACTTGTTTTCTTTATCTTAGTATATAAATTTTGTTAATCATGATTTTTTTAAATATATATTAAATTTTTAAAAGGAAAATTACTTTCAAATAATATCTTCTTTAGGATTTTTAGAAAAGACAAATTGGTAATAAATAAATTATTTTACGAATATTTTTCCTTAAGATTTGTAAAAAGGAAATCTATAATTAAACACCTTTACTTTTTTATTTAGTTATAAACAAAATTTAAAATTAATATATTTAAAATTCGTTTTTATTCTTTTAAATATTGTTTTAGGATTTGTATAAAGAATAACTACAATTCAAAACTTATAAGTTCTTTTTTTTTTAAATTAATAACTTCAAAGTTCATTTATTATCTTAAGATATACATTAAAAATCATCATCAGTTTAAGAAGAAAAGAACATTAATATATTTGAAATCATTATTCTATGATTTTTTGTTTAGGATTTTTAAAAAAAACTATTAAACATTCTTTAATAATTCTCTTATGTTCAAGATTTTAGAAATGGACAATTACTATAAAATAGGTTTTATCAAATACCTTTCAGAATTTTGGAAAAGGAAAATTAGTATCAAAAAAATTATTTTGTAAATCTTTATTTGTTGAAATGTTTTAAAAGAAAATGGTTTAGTAAAAGTGCTATTAAAAATTTTCAAACATTATTTTTATCTGTAAAATCATTTCATTTTCTTCGTATACATATTTTTTTTAATATGATATATTTTTACATATAAAAAATTCTAAGAAGAAAATTACTATGAAATAATATTTTTTTAGGATTTTAGAAAAAAAATTGATAATAATATATTTTACAAATAGTTTGTTGTTTTGGATTTGTGAAAAAAGAAAAACTAAAATTAAACACTCTTTATTTTTTATACTTTTAAAAAATATATAAAATTATTATTTTCAACATTAGTTTTTTTTTTTATTTTAAATCTTTGTGTTTAGGATTTGTTAAAAGGAAACCTACAACTAAAAGGTTTTAGCTTCTTTTTTTCTTTTAATTTTAAACGATTTTTAAAATTAATATCTTCAAAATTCCTTTTTATGATCTTAGTATATATATTTTTAATCATGAGAATTTTAATACATGCCACAATATTAAATGGAAAAATACTATCAAATATTGTTTTTGTAAATATCATTTTTTTACGTTTTTTTAAAATGAAAAATTACTATTACATAATATTTCTAATTATGTTTTTAACAAAATGTGTTTTTGTTATTATGTATAATATATATTAATTATGAAATAGTTTAACACATGTCACACACATAAATATATAATTGTTATGTGTCACAATCTTGTTAATTAGTAATTTTGAACAACCAAACTTTATAATAGAGTTTTTATAGTATATGTTTCCATTCAAATAATTACATGTTTGTGAATATTTAAAAAAAAAAGATTGTGGTTTGGCTCAAAAAGTACTAAGTTGTAATAAATTCTATTATTATTGGTTCGACGGTACTAACTTTATTTAAAATCTTTTATTATTCAAATCAATCCTATATATAGAAGCAACTAATACAGACACAAGATGTTTCCATAAGGATCTTCGTCTTTGATTCAACAACACATGTCTTTCTTTGTGTCTAACTATTTCTGTGATCATTAATTGTAACCACAACCTTGTCCCTGATTTGACCAAAATTTTTGTTGTCCCCTAATAATTTCTTGACCTATTATTTTGTGATCACATTTGCTTTAGCTAATGGATCTACTAACCAACATGGGACCCTTGCTACAAAACAATGGTGTAAAGAAACATAAGTCTGGTATTTTTGGCGTCTCTTGTATATGTTTATATTTAGTTTATATTTAGTTTTCATACCCACATGATCATGTCTTCTTGTTATAAGTTGTATAGTCCACAAATTGTGTTTTTCACACACAATTCATTATACCAACTTGGGACCATCATTGATCAGATAGACTAGAAACATAGGCATGTGTTTTGTCTAGTTAGGTTGCTTGTCACAACGCCTATCAAAAACTAATAGTATGTCCTCCTATAAAATGAAACAAGAAATTGGTATTATTCATCATTCATAACTTTCATTCCTAGAGCTCTATCAGCAACGTATAAATCTTTACTCCTTACTTTTTGGACTAAATATATTCCAGAAAATGATGATGAACACAAAGAAGCTAATCAAGATGGTCAAGAAATGGCAACAAAGAGCAGCCCTCCATAGGAAAAGGATCTCATTTCAGAGGTCGAGTTCTAGTGGTAGCAGCTCAACTTCAGTAGAGAAGGGTTGCTTTGTGGTTTATACGGCGGACAGAGCCCGCTTTGCTTTTCCAATAAGTTACTTGAGCAACTCTGTTTTCCAAGAACTCTTGAAAATCTCTGAAGAAGAGTTCGGCCTCCCCACGGAAGGACCAATCACATTGCCATTCGATTCTGTTTTCTTGGAGTATCTTATTAAATTGATCCAGCGACGAATGGATGAAGATACAGAAAAGGCTTTGTTAATGTCAATCTCTAATGCTAGATGCTCTTTGCAACTACAAAATCAAAGTAGCAGTCAACATTTGCTTGTATTTTAGAGTGTAGCAGATTATGTATTAGATAGACACAGAAATACAAATTATTTTCTTCGTCTCTTGTACATCAATATCAACTTCTATTGCAAACAAGATAAAGTGAACAATTTTGAATACCACTTGTGCTCATATATGCTTTCATACAAAAAAAATCTTCAAGATACTTCACTAAGAAATATCCAACTATGAAAATTTCCGGTCTCAGAAATGGTGCAGCTGTTTATTGGAAAGAGGCGTTCCTGTGATATGGTGCACATGTAACAAAAGATTATTACAGGAAAGAGGCGTTATGAACTTAATCTGTACCGAGGAAATACGAAATATTAGAAGAGTAGTTGATTTTTGGACGTATAATCTATGGACTTATTATCTACATGGTCATTATTTTCTTCTTCAGTATGACATGTGTGTTTTTCACCAGATCATGTGCTGCACCAAAATATAGTTTAGTACCATTTCTATATTTTGGATTTAAATTACTTTTTAGTTAGCGTACATAGATTCTACACAGAAGCATGAGTTTAGTATTTCTGGTTGCTCTAGCAACTTTTGTCTCCAAGTGAGAGATGCTCTTTACAATGCTTGTGGCAACAAGAACATAACGGTCAGCAATTTAGTATAGACTTTTGGTAAATATTTTTCAGAATGAACCTTAAGGGTTCTATGAAACTCTTTTACCCATTACCAAAATTCTTACAAGGCTACACCATTGGTTTTGAAGCTTATCCGTTAAAAGCCAAATAAATTTCTCTTGACTGTTAAGTAATTTAATATTAAAGGACTAGAATAAACCCTAACCACTGAAATTTTGCCGGTTTATAGTTATGAATTCCCTGAGGACATCAAAGGGCCTACAAGTTCTACAACTTTCGTTCACTTGCACGTCTTTGTATCTAAAAATTTAATCACATGGTCATGTCTTTTCAGAAGATGTTTTAGTCCACAAGTTGATGAGCATATAAGATTGATTACTAACTTGGGACTCTTTATGATCACATACAACAAAGACAGAAACATGTGTTAGGTTTGGTATCTCTAAGTTTATCTAAACTCTAGCTTCTCTTTATATATATATATACAACAATCCTATGGGATTACTCATCAATATACATTGCATTCAAAGAGCTATACCACACAAGTTACAAATCTCTTGTACTTTTGGATTCAAACAAGTCATTTCCCTGAGAATAATGATGAACACAAAGAAGCTACTCAAGATGGCCAAGAAATGGCAACAAAGAGCAGCCCTCCACAGAAAAAGAATCTCATTCCAGAGATCAAGTACATCTACTAGAAGCTCAACCGCAGTAGAAAAGGGTTGTTTTGTGGTTTACACGGCGGATGGATCACGCTTTGCTTTTCCGTTAAGTTACCTGAGCAACACTGTTTTCCAAGAGCTCTTGAAAATAGCTGAAGAAGAGTTTGGCCTCCCAACAGGCGGACCAATCACCTTGCCATTTGATTCGGTTTTCATGGAGTACCTGATCAAATTGATGGAACTACGAATGGATGGAGATACAGAAAGGGCTCTGTTAATGTCAATACCTAGTGCTAGAAGTTCTGTGCCATGCTCTTTACAACAACAACAAAAACTGTTTGTAATTTAGAGAATCAGTGTGTTGCGATTTTTGCATTTGTAAAGATACAGTAATTTCAGATATACAAAACCATGTCTTCATTAGATTGTTCCACCAAAATCTATCTTCATTGTAAACAATGAAAAATTAACTCATTTGGTTAATCTACGTTTGTTGTAATGTAATATCTAATTGGACATATTTTTGTGACTCACATTTGATATAGCTTACATATCTATCTACAAACTAAACTCCAACCATTATGCTATCAAACAAATCTGTAAAGAGACATGAATTTGGCATTTTTTACTATTCTTGATATTTACCCAAAAAATGTGCATAATTAAGAGCAGCATCTTGCATATTTAAATAGTTAGATGTTAAATTAAGGGTTTGGAACGCTCCAAACTTGTTCACTATGAGCCCAGCCCTATTTTAACCCTAACCATGTTTATCCCTGCAATTTGTCCATAAATGTGTTGAACTATCTCGCTAACTACTGATACTAAACATGGTCAAAATATGATGTTTTTTTTTTCATTTTATCATTGTTTTGTTCAAAAATAAAAACTGCATAAATTTCTGCTTGTTTGTATTTGCCACAGTTACCAGATATAGTAGTCAAACCAATTGTTGTATTTTGGACAAATGTTGCAACTTGCAAGTTGACTGCTATCTCTTTATCTCACTATAAACTGAACGAGAATATAAATTTTCATATCTCAACCACAAATAGATGGAACTACATATCATCATTATCACTAGACATCACATGTTATCATCCATCATCGAACATATGAAAACCAAAACATATTGCTGTTTAAGATACCATCTCGAATATAAATAAAGAACCAAATTACCCTGCAAAAGAACAATATAAAGACATGAAGAGTAACCTACAACCTATGATGAGAGAAACACCTAAAACCTAACAGTGTACATCAAATACCATTGAAAAATTCTCAAAGGAAAAAATATATGAAGAGTAAACTGCAACCTCAGCCGAAAGATGGTGATCTAAGTGTTAAATAATCATGGGATTATCATTAAATATGGACGATTTTATTCATCATTGATTGCAGTAAACCATAAAAAAAAAAAAAAGAGTAGTTTGAAAAAACAAAACAAAAGAAAGCTAGAAAAGAGTTCAGAGGGTAGTGCATGTCTATGAATCTACAATATGGTTCAGATTTGCAGACGTATGATTTAGTAAACATCCTCATTCCTCAGACTTCCAAAACATACATATAAACATAGAGAACAGATCTTTACATATAAAAACAAAACTCTATTCATTTGAAATTAGGTATCAGAGGACATGGCAAATCACTCAATTCTGCAGAAGCAGATCAGACTGGGTGTCACAAAACAATAATTATGCCTTTTCTTCACTTCCAATTAAAAAGAAATTTAAAAAAAAACAAGAATTATGAAAATGTATTTGTGAAAAAACTGAGAATCAGACGAAAATAGTCAATCACCATGTTGAATCCATTTTGTAATGAACGCAAATAAGACTGGGGCGACAATTCCTTATCATCACTTTCGCTAACAAGTAACGAATGCAAAAACATCGACAGAGAGTATCTACAACACAACTTAGCTTATAAGACTACTAAACAGAACAATAATCCAAGCCGGATATAAACAGAGATTTGCTGCAATGAAGTTAGCGTTTTCAAGCCGTCTTTTTAGTTTTGGTGTGTGTAAGAAGAGATTCTTAGAGTTTTAGCTTTATACAAACGCAAAGGACTGATTATGTTTTAGGGTTTCTCTCTCCCGCTTCGCTTTTCGTGGGCCTAGGCCTTCTAATCTACAGTCTTCAAAAGCGATTTAAGTAGGACTATTTTAATAACACAAAAGGCCCACTATTCGAAAACATTGTGGATATTCTTACAATCTAACTGAGCCAGAGGGTTTCTAACTGAACCAGGATTCTACGTTTTGTGTTGTACCACTTGATTTCAGTTTAGCAAGAATAGAATTTATAAGCAACTTACGTTTAAATTATATTTTTTGGAAGGAGATTCTGCATCCATTGGGTGTTGTAAGTTGGGATGTTTTGTATTTGACGTTCAATTTCAATAGAAAAAGGACAAAGAATGATCTATGTTTTGACCTCATTCTTCTGATACGGTTCTTGATTTCTTGCATCTTCTTAGTCCACTTGTTAAAACTTTTAGGTTTATATATATATTTTAGTACATGTGATGTATAATAGTTTGCGTAATCAATTTGAACCTTAAGAAAAAGGAGAAACATACATCGCAAGAATTGTATTTCATGACGCAAAGCAAACGAACGAAGGAGGTCTTTCACCTTTACACTCGACATCCTTACGACAGTGACTCTGTCTATTCCACCAACCCTCTTTTATTTTTTCATCATCAAACCAAAAAAATACATTCTGAACTAATTTTTCTTTTATAAATTTTTTTTACTCTATATCGTTTATACCGAGTTTATTTGTAGAGAAACATATACAAACTCTTTCAAGCTTTATATGTGTCTATTTATGTCACACCAAGTTTTATATGTATTTTCCATTAAAAATGCGTTTAACCGCATGAAAATTGTAACATCTAAACGATTATGCCATTGTTTCAAAAAAAAACGATTATGCCAAATTTTGACTGAATAGATTCATGATATATGCATTCAATACTATCTTTTCTTCTTCTTCTTTTTTTTTTAATTCATTCAATAATATTCAGAAAGAATAAATAAGTGGATCACTTTATTCGTTAGGCAATCTATGTAAATATGGAGTATGGATTTGCTTCCTACTTGCAGGGCCAACCACAGTTCACAACCTGTGCTACTGTCAAAATCAAATTTGAAAATCAGTTATATATTCTCGTTGAATAAGAACGTTTTAAAGTAAAAATTAAAATCACTGTACCCTTTGAAAACAATGTCACCTTATCTTTAAATGACCGATCAAGTTTGAGACAGTTGAAAACATCATGTACACACATAAAGATTGTGTTAAATACACCAATTAGAAACACGATACTGGCTCTTTCGATCTCTACAATAACTCGTGATGTTATATAGTCAGCTGTAAATGTAAAGATGTTAAACGGGTTGATCCATCCCGTCCCGTACCGCAGCGGACTCATCTTTCTGCAGGCATAGCGGGGTAGACCCGCACGGGTTACGGTTTTCAAAAAATCGTCTTAAACCCGTACCGTCAAATGTACACTCCTTTGCGAGCTGTCCCGCGGGACATACATCAATATAGTGATGCTTGACTCTGCAGACCACTCCAGAACACTTCCTGATGCTGCAAACTGGTTTTTTATACAATCAAGTTCACATAATTAATAAACATCACTACAAGAAAACACGTCCTTTACTAGGACGGGTTTTCCTCGTTATTTCCTAGTAAACGGTCCTTTACTAGGAAATAACGAGTAAACACGTTTTGTCGAAAGACGTTCATAGTAAAGCATATTTTCCTCGTAATTTCCTAGCTAATTTACGAGGAAACATTTCCTCGTAAACGCGTGGATACGTTTTCCTCGTAAGGTCCACGTAGGCTTTCCTCGTAAGCTCATAGTAAACTAATTCCTCGTAATCTCGTAGTAGGATCTTTACGAGGAACTTGCTAGGAAAGTTTACGAGGAGCTTACTTCGAAATCTTTACGAGGATTTTACTTCGAAATAATTTTTTCCTATTTAAAAAAATATTTATAAATTAAAAATTATATATATTAAAGAAATTAAAAACCCAAATTAAAAACAAAAAAAATAAATAGCAAAATATTTATAAATAACTAAATAATATACAATTAATAAGTTTTAAAATTCATAATATACAATTAAAACTAAAAAAACTAAAAGGGATGCTGCTCTTGAAATTGGTGCACGAAGTCGTCGTCTCCAATGTTGGATACCGGCTGTGACTGAGATGGTGGAGGCTGTTGGGGTGGAAGGGCTCCGCTTTCCTGTCTCTGACGCAACATCTCCGCCACTTGCGGGTATCCAACCGCCATAATATCGAGGATATCGGTGAGCGTACTCACATGAGACTGCGTCGCCTGCAACTCCGTTCGCAGGTGAGCATTGGCATCGTCTTGTTGGTGAACATAAGCTGATGTCACTGCGGGGACATCGTTAAACGAGCCAATCCCGACAATACGGCCCTTTTTTCTAGGGACGACCTGTAAATAAAAATATTAATAACATAAGGAAAATTTTAAATAAATAATAAAAATTAATATATTAAAAAAAATTATTTACCTCCTCGTAAATCTTATCCACTTCAAGAGTGGATAATACGACCGGAGCCTCAGTCTGCTGAGTCAGTTGGGTCTGGCGTTCGTCAACTCGGGCAGCAACCTCGTTGTAGATCCGCTCAGAAGCATGATCTACAAACTGCCCACTCTTTTTCCGGTGGGTCCGCTCGTAAAGGTCTTTCAGAGATTGAAGAACTCATGTCTCTTTAGGCGATTTTTTTTTTTTAAATTAAATATTAATTAATTTAGAATATTAGAATATTCAAATAAAGTAAAAATTAAATAGTTAAAAAAAATACCATGTCTAGACGAACTCGCCCGTGAGGTTTTCGGTCCGTGGTGTGAAGCATCTTCGTGTTGCCATGCTCGTTTGTGGTCATGCGGTTCTCGGAGTTTGTCTGGGAGGTTCTGATCGAGTCCGGCAACGCCCAATACCTGATGAGGCCATCCCACACCGTGGTTGTGAGGCAATCAGGTTTCCCGCGCTCGTAACCGTCCACCTGATTTAAAATAATTACAATTAAAGTCAATAATATATATTTTTAAAACTATACATATATTAATAATTTATAATTTTATACCTGAAAGTCGCCCTTCCAGTTGTAGACCATGTCGCACAATCGTGCTTTTGCCTTGGCCTCGAACTCTGACTTCACCCGCTGGTGAATCTCAATAGACCAACGATATTTTTTTGCTGCAACCAGAAAAAATAAAAGACGGATTAGTTCAATAATATTCATAATTTTAAATGATTAAAAATAAATTAAGTTGATTTACTAAACATACAGCGAACGATTTGAACCACATCTTTTTGGTGTGGCTCGCCGTCATCTTCCAGTTTGGAGCTGCATCGGGAAAGTATCCCTTGATACAGTCCGTGACGCTAGATCCGACACAATTGTCAAGACCAAACCTGGAAAGACAGAAAAATTAATCATTAATTAGAACATACCATAATACTTTTTAAAAATTAATAAAACTTTTTAAAAATTAAAACGTACCATAATACGTTTTGGCCGTCCCGTCGGATATGATCTAACACTGGCAGCCCTTCTCTGCCTGGAAGGGCCAAATTATCTTCCACCGTGTACAACGCAAATGGTGCGTTCGGCGGCACCTGCAAATCAGGATGAATCCCGACCGGTGGAGGAGGAGGAGGAGGTGGCTGCTGAGACCGGAATG